GGCTTTGAGACGAACTTCATCAAGATCTTCTAATACTGCCAACATGGCATGGTTGTAATCTGCTGGAGTTAGCCTATTTTGGAAAGCCACCCTTGCAGATCCGATAGTCATCTCCATTGGAAGGACGATATCATGCCCATATGTAAGCATTTATGGTGTAACGCCCGCACTTGACCTTTTTGAATTTCTGGAGGCCCAAAGAGCTTCAGAAAGCAAGTAATGCCACTCCCTTGGATGATCCTCAATCATCTTTTCAAGGATGTTGAGAATTACTTTGTTGAAAGCTTCTGCCTGTCCATTTGCTTGGGTAAAATATGGAGTGGAACTGATCACTTGTACACCACACTCAGCACAATAATCCAAGACCTTGCTTCCAACAAAGGAAAGACCTCTGTCAGTGGTGATAGTCTCTGGAATTCCAAACCTGTGTATAATGTGCTTCTTGATGAAATCAATCACTGTTGATTGCTCACAGGTCTTTAATGGAATAGCCTCAACCCACTTCGTGAAATAATCTGTTGCCACCACTATGTGAGTATGGCCATCTGAAGATGGAGGCCTTAGTTTTCTAATAAAATCCAAAGCCCACCTTCTAAATGGCCATATTTTTACTATCGGCTGCATATTAATAGCTGAAACTCTTTGGATCGGGCCATGTTCTTGACATGCAATACAAGACTTAGCAAACTCTATGCAATCTTTCAATATACCTTTCCAATAATAACCATACTTTCTAAGGAGCCACCTCATCTTGATTCCAGCTTGATGTGCTTAGCATATTCCAAGGTGTGATTTCGCCATTACCCTTATGGACTCATACTTTCCGAGGCATCTTGACAAAAGTCCATCTTCTTTACTCTTCTTGTAGAGGTCCCCATCAATCAGAATGTAATGTGGGGCCAAAAGCTGAATTCTCTTGTCCACTTTGAAGCTAGGCTCCTGCAAGAATTGGATAATTAGTGTTCTCTAATCATCCAAATCTAATCCATCTATATCAATATTGAAAACCTCCCATGGCTTATTGGCAGGTTTGATTCTTTCTGGCTCTTTAGATTGGAAATGACTTGCCATCTCATATCGTAACTCTACCTAAGGAAGAGTCCTTCTTTTAACTGTGATCAGAGCTTCTTCCACACCCAGTGGGACTTTCACTCGAGAGGCTAATTGTGCTAGATCATCAGCCTCCGTATTTAAATGTCTAGGCCAATATTTGAGTTGGAAATCATCAAACTGGCAAAGTAACTCTAAGGCCAAAGAGTGGAAAGGCCACAGACGCCAGTTAAGACATCTATATTCTTCAGATAGTTGGCTAAGTATCAAGTTGGAATCTCCAATAATCTGGACCTTCTCCACCTTTAGCTTAGCAGAATCTCTAGCCCAATAATTGGTGCCTCGTACTCAGCTTGGTTGTTTGTACACTTGAAATCCAAGAAGAAAGAAAATTTGGTTTTCCTTCCTTTCGGAGAAATGATGACTATTACAGCTCTGCCTCCATCATGAGTGCTTGATCCATCAAACATGAGAGTCCAAGGTGTGTAGTCAAGGTAGAGATTATCCACCTCATCACATATTTCTGAATCTATCTTAGTGGATGGATGATCTGCTAGAAATTCTGCTACTGCCCTTCCTTTGACTGCCTTTTGTGGAATATACTTGAAGGAAAACTCTATTAAGGCCAATGACCATGTTCCAATATGTCCAGTGATCAAAGGCCTTGAAAACATATACTTAATCAAATTTGTTTGAGAAATGATATATACGGCCACTGGCAACATATAGGTTCTTAACTTCATAGCTGCATAGTATAAGGAAAGGCACAACTTTTCAATGCAAGTGTACCTACATTCCACTGGAGTGAGCACCCTACTTAGATAATAGATGGCTTGCTCTTTCCCCCATTTATTATTCTAAGCTAATAGAGTTCCAATGGACTCATTGGCGGCCGATAAGTAGAATCTTAAAGGCCGCTTCTTGATTGAAGGCATCAGCACTGGAGGGTTGGCCAGGTAGCTTTTCAAACCTTCAAAGGCGTGCTGGTGCTGTTCTGTCCACTTGAATTCCTCAGCATCCTTTAATTTCAGCAAAGGGGAGAAAGCATGAGTCTTTCCAGCATGGTTGGCAATAAACCTCCTTAAATATCCAACCTTGCCGAGGAATCGCTGCAACTCTTTCTTGGTGGACGGTGGCTTTGCTTCAATAATTGCCTTTGTTTTAATCTATCTCAATACCCCTTTGGTGGACCAAGAAATCTAGGAAATTTCCAACTGAAACCCCAAAAGCACACTTCAAAGGATTCATCTTCAACTTGTGCTGCATCATCCTTTCAAAAGCCATCTTCAAATTGTAGAGATGTTGATCTTTAACCGAGGACTTGATGACCACATCATCAATGTAGACTTCCAAGAAATGACCAATCATGTAATGGAATATGGCATTCATGGCTCTTTGATATGTTGCTCTGGCATTCTTCAACCCAAATGGCATGACAACCCATTCAAAGGTTCCAATGGAACCTGGACATCTGAAGGCTGTCTTGGCAATATCTTCCTCTGCAATGTAAATCTGGTTGTACCCGAAATGTCCATCCATGAATGAAAAAATTTTATTCTTGGCAGCAGAATCTACTAACTGGTCAGCAACTGGCATGGGATACTCATCTTTTGGATTTGCAAGATTGATATTCCAAAAATCCACACATACCCTTAGCTTGCCATTTTTCTTAACAACTGGAACTATATTGGAAATCCAGTCAACATACCTAGCGATTCTTATAAAACTAGCCTTGTGTAGCCTTTCTATCTCTTCTTTGACCTTTAGAATAACTTCTTGGGATATCCTTCTTGGAGGCTGCTTGAAAGGCTTGAAACCTTCCTTAATTGGCAACTTATGTTCTACCAGCTCTCTGGAAAGACCTGGCATTTCCTCATAGGTCCATGCAAAGCAATCTTTGTATTCTTCAAGTAAGGAAATCAATTCTTCTCTAAAGGTTAGTTCCAAAAGCTTACTGATGTAGGTAGGCCAAGGGTCCTGTTCTATTCCAAGATTAACTTCCAAAAATGGATCTTGTACTTCAGCCTTGAGATCGTCTAACTTCGTTGGCGCCACCTTCAGGTCTGTTAGCTGGATAGCATCCAACTTGTCTTCAGTATCTTCCATAATCTCCAAAACATTGGTTGAAAATGAAGTACCAGCAACAACAGCCCTTTCCAACCGTACTTCAGCTAGATATGCTTTCAACCTGGCAAGGCAACAGTTAACCGCCTGGCCAAGTATTATATTTTCTTTAGGTTTCTCTTCCATAAAAAATTTCGTTTGAAATGTATTGCTGAACATCGGCCTTGGGTAAAATTGTTGGCCTTTGTGTTTCTTGGAAAAGCTCCCTTACATCTTCTTCCGCAAGAGTCCTTCTCATGGTGGCCTTCCTTGGACGGCCCTTGCTATCTTTTCCAATAAATCTGATTGGAACGAATTCTTCACTATACAACTCAGCATCTGCATGATAAACCCTTGCCACAAATGGCCGGCTATTAGCTTCCACCACTTTTACCTCATCTCCATCCCAAAATATTAGCATTTGATGGAGCGAAGATGGAATGCAAAAATTTGGGTGAATCCATTCGCGGCCTAAGAGCAAATTATAACCCGTTGTAGACTCAATAACAAAGAAGGCTGTGATGGAAGTTCTATCTCCCACCGTTAACTCCAACGGTAGGATTCCTTGCGTCTTCACTATTCTTCCCGTGAATCCACTAATGGACACATCAGTTGGAATGATATCTTCAGGCGACTTTCCAAGCATGCGCATAACATTGACTGGAACAACATTCAACACCGAACCATTGTGCACCAAAACTCTTGCCAAGGGCCTTCCTTCCACTAGCACCTTGATGAACAAAGGTTTGAGCTGCTGAGTCATGCCATATGGTGGCTTTTCCAACACAATTTTCTTTGGCCTCGTGGGGCTATTCTCTTCAATCACAACCCCCTTTAATTTCTGAAAATGCTCAGCTTCATCTTCAAATACCTCCTCTATATGAATACCATTATTTGGTTCTATAATGGTTGGCCCAGAACTAGACTGTCCAAGACTTTCCATGGGAGGACTTGTATCTACTACATCTCCTTCCATTGAATTTGGCTGATTTGGCTGAGGCTCAAAAAATAAAGGAAGAACCACTACCATATTGCAAGTAAATTCACCTGGAAGGCTCCCAAAACAAATTTTCTTGTTGCTACTGGAACTGCTGGGAATTTCCAAATCTGTTTTATCTTTCGTAGGAGGATTGTCTGAAGTCAAGGAATTTCCAACCTCTGAATCAAGATCTAACAAATCATCAGGATCTCTCTCTTTTCCTCTAGCTGGAAGTTCTGATAAGTCTGACAGCTTAGTAGTCTTCTTTGGCCAGCTGGACCAGCCAGCCATGGTCTTTCTCCCATAACCTTTTTCTATCAGCCCTCTTCCTTTGCTGCCTTCGCTTTTGTGTGCGGGTCATATAGAAATCATCATGTATAGGGAACTTAGGATGATCAAGCCTCTCCCACCTGTTACTTTGCAAAATGGGAGGCTTAACCATTCTTGGTTGGAGAAGCTCATTTTCCCTTCTAACCCATACCTCCGAGGCCATTCTTAGCCTGGAATGCCTGTCACCTTCAGAACCTCTGTCTTGCCATATACTACTTTCAAACTTTCTGCTAGGAGGACGAGAACTTGGCTGATAGAAAATTCTACTCCTTTCCAAATTCTTTGAAAGGATTTTAGATTTCCTCTCTGCTGCCTTTCTTTCTGGATGAACCCGACTTTCCTTCTCTGGAATGGTTACAATAACTGTGTTTTTCACCTTTTGGAAAGTTAGCCGGTCATGGACTTTCCTATTCTGACCCCAGTCACTATTGGAGGGCTTTTCATTCTGCTTCTCTTTTGGAAAGTCTTTACGGCAACCTTCATTCTGAACTTTACACTTGGGGCAACAACCTTGTTGGATTAAAGCAATCTGGGCCTCTCAGAGTTGCCTCTCCAACTCAGCTACTGTCTTCTCCATAGATGTTGCCGCCTTTGGAATTTCTAACTTTCCACTGGTCGCTGGATTTACCAAGTCCACCTCCTTTTTGGAATGCTCCGGAACCATGGAAGCAACATTTGTTGCAACAACCTTGGGGAAAGGATTTCCATCAACACCCATGACTTCTGATTTTTCTGGAAACTTCAAACGGCCATCTTCGATTGCCTTTTGTACAATGTTGCGGAAGATAACACAATTATTAGTGGAATGCTTCCATGAATTGTGGAACTTGCAATACTCCTTCTCGGCCATTTCTGAAGCCGACGGTATCTTGTGGCCCGCTGTGAAAATTAGTTGCTTGTCAGCCATAAGCAAATCAAAGATTTGCTCGGCTTTAGAGATGTCAAAAGAGTAACTTTTGGAAGAGTCTGCCCCCTTCCACTTGGAACCAAAGGCGGCCTGCAAGTTGGCCGTGGCTGACTTTGGTTTTGTCAAGGCCTTACAAGTATAGGCCTTCTTTATGTTGAGCTCAGCTACATTTACTTCAAACTCCCATTCAGTTTCAGTGGTATACACCTCATAGTTAGGATCACGATAGTAGGTGCCCTTGGAAGAGTTCTTCCTATCTTGCTCCTGACGAAGGAGCTCTTCATACTTAGCCATTTTGCCAGCCAAGTCGAACAAGTCATGGAATTGTACACCTTCAAACTTGTTGCGAAGTTCAAATTCTAGGCCGTTCATAGCCATCTTCACATATTCTTCTGGCGGCAAAGACAAATTATATTTGAACTTGGCCCACCTGAATCTAAAAAGGAAGCTCATCACAGACTCTCCAGGTAGTTGATAAAGTCTGGAAAGGTCTGTCATGGACACTTCAAGCTCAGCTCTATAGAACTGAGTATGGAATAAATCCTCAAATTACTACCAACTTTGAATGGAGTTGGCTGGCAAGTTGGAATACCACCTGAAAGCATATCCCGTCAGTGTGTTTGGAAACAAGTGTACTTTCAGCCATGGATTGGTTGCTGCTTCTCCACGCTGAACAGTGAACCGACTGATATGTTCCAAGGTAGACTGTTTGCCCTCTCCATTGAACGTTGCAAACTCTGGAATTCTGAAATTCCTTGGAAATTCAACTTCATCAATGAACTCTGGATAGGGCTTTCTATAAGTTGGCCTTTCACCCCTTCGAGTTAGGCCAAATTCCTGTTTAAGGAATTCTGCAAATTGGCCTTTGTCAAGCGGCATAGGTTGTGGAGGGTTGTTGTCTGGCCAACCTTGAGGTTAATTAGCCACCTGATGCCCCCACCTGCCATCAGCAAGGGGTTGGCATCTGCATAGTTGTTCCTACCATAGTTCCTTCCTCCTTAGTCAAGAAATGGCTCCCTTAGAAAAGGTTGCCCCCCAACTGCCATTGGAATGACCATAGGTGGTGGCCTTGCCTGAACAGGTGTGGCTGACTGAATGTTCACAGATGGAACATTCTGTTATGCTTGAGGGATGTGGTATGGCCATGGTTGGCCAGGCTGATCATGCCAAGTCTGCTGTGGAAATACCACAGGTGGAGGATTCTGAACTTGCTGAATGGTTGGCATAGGCGCAGCTTGTGGAACAGTCATCTGTGCCACTGAAACGGTCACAGGTGCAGCTGGAATATAAATCTGTGCTATTGGAAGGGACTGTACCTGCTGCTGAGTTGGAGGGAGTGGCCCTGTATGTTGCTGAGAGGAACTCCCTTCAACAAATGCGGCTGGCCTACTAGCTTGGAAGGCCGACTGTTGAGACCCTTCAGAGTTGTTTGGCCGAGGGGCCAAACCTTGGTTTGAGCTTCCAAGGGTCTGTTCCAACATAAACTCGAACCTTTGAGAGATTCGGTCTACCAATTCTTCAAACTTCCAGTCTTGAGATAGAACAGTTTTAGATTGCTCTTAAGCAACTCTGGCTAAGTCTTGAGCGACTTTAGCTTGGTCTTGCATAAACCTATCTTACTATATTGCCATCATGTGGATATTGTCCATGATGGGTCCATTTGCCATTGTTTGAGCAAATTTTTCCACCATATCATTTTCATCAGGTGCAAATCGTTAACTTTCCACTAGAAGTTCACTAGCTTGCATCTCTTATAGTTCGGCAGAGTCTTGAATAGACTTGTCTTGCCTTCTTCCACCGGCCATTGAACAATCTATTAAGATGTCCCGCCGGGCGTGCCAAGAATGTTCGGCTCCTAAAAACCGAGGTTCCACTTTCCAGGTGAGTGGAAAGTAGGAGTGGATGTCGGGCGTGCCAGGAACTGCTGTCGTTCCAAAGTGAGTATCCGAACAACTATCCAGTAGGAAATTGTAAGGATCAAGCGATTGAATGAAGGACTGGAATTACCACCTTCAAGGGTTCTTTTTGCCTTTAAAAAGGACTTTCGGACTGAACTATGGCTAGTGGAAAGGAAAACGGTATTGAAAGTGCAGGACTTCAAAGTAATTGCTGGAAAGTAGGAATAATAAATGCAGGACTTGAATTAAACATATTGAAGGTGCATTACATGAATGAAAAGATACATGAATGTAAGGATATTGAAGTGTTGTTTTGCTGTGTGATTTGAAGAGGGTTTGCAAGCTAGCTCTAAGTGTTCTATTTATAGAGCTTTACGCATACATTAACTAGGTGTGGCAACTTCAGCAACTTCCACGTGGAATGGTTCCGGACTGCCACATGTCCCATGATTCCTCAGCGGTTGTAACTTCTTCCATCTTATCCATCTTCTGTTGTAGACTTCAACCACGTCATCTCTAGTCTTCAACGAATTTGCGTCATGGGTAGTTTTAGAATGCATTCCCACGTGTTCTCTTTGTGACTTGGCAAGTGTCCTATGATTTTGTTCTTCTTCCTCATGCCGTTAACTCCTTTCCTTAACTTCAGACACGATTTCACCAACTGCTGCCCTGTCACCCATAACCCTTGATAACTTCCCTTGGTCAGTGGTAGTTTCCTTATAGGTTTTCACCACTTTCAATCGATATATTCCTGTTTAGCCAAGTGTCCCATGACTTCTAGTAGTCTTTCACTTCTGTTAGAACCCTCCTTACGAATATATATATCATGCACATATAAGGAAGGTTTTTGTAGAAATCTTTCTCCTAGCTTTGGGTAACTTCCTTCTAGTTGAGCTTTCCATTCTGGTCTTTGTATCATGATGTCGTGGCCCCAAAACTTCAGCGATATTTATCTTTATGGGCAAGATATATATATATCTATATCCAAGAATATACATCATTGCCCACGATCTTCTGCCAACCACATTCCCTTAGATTTTAGTAACTTCCATCGTGAGACTTTCCTTCTAGGCTTTGGAGTTCATGTCGCCATGATCTCCTTAACCTTAGCAACTTCTTCATCATAGGTAGTTTATCCAACCTATTCTCTTTCCTTCAACAGACCACGCTTTCCTTGACTTCAGGCTAAAACCTCCACATTTGCTTCATGGTGTCATGGTTGTGATGCACTTCCCAAATTCTAGTAATCTCTCTTCAATCTAGCCTCATTAGAATTTAGGGCATCATGGGCTCACGAAAATTACTCCATCGTGGGTTAAATATATATATATATATATATATATATATATATATATATATATATATATATATATATATTTAAAGAAATAAACTGAATTCCCACGTTCTGCTGAATTTTAGCAAGAAGGTTGACCTGGCTTAAGCAGTTGCTGATGTCTCCTAAAAATAAGGAGAAAATATTGCCTCCACATTCCCACTTGTGACTTGGCCAACTTTGTTCTAAAAATGGAAAATTCCCATTTAATTGGTATCCTATATTAATAGGATCTTCCAAATAAATTCAAACAGAATTAATCTACCTTGGCAAGTCGAATAAAAGTCACCATGCGTTAATAAACTATTGGTTGTTTGAATCTTTGACTTTAGCCTTCTTATGAAGTTTCACTCATGGTAATATCTTCATGCAATCTTCTCGTTCTTTTAGGACTTTATATCCTAAATTTGGTAAGTCCTAGTTGGACTCACCACTCCTTTTAATTTCTTGTAGAATTAATATTCCAAAGGAATATTTATTAATATCTTACTCACATAAATGACTTTCTAGATATAGCTATTTTAAAACAAATCCAAATGAAGCAACTTTGGATTTTCCTTGATGGCATGCAATTTCGAAATGCCTTTCACAAATGTAGTCTTCATTAACAATAAATGCATGCTAGCATGTTCAAGTCACATAATCCAAGATAAGCTACTTTAACATAGACATTTTTGCAGCAAGCAGCATTCATGTCAAGATCACCAATCACATTGATTATGCTATGAAAATAATCATGTATTCCTGTTGTCTAGCACAATTAAGTCATGTTCAAGCTTATCAACTAAAGGCACATTTGTGATGAAGGAGAGGATATTTACCGAAGTAATCAATATCTCATTGTAGTGCATCCCTCATCTTATTCATGGCTTGATTTCTCTTTATGTGCTTTAGCCCTCCATATTGTGAATCCACTTGTTCTTGAAAGAAGAGGTCTTTAACGTACAAAATATGCTCAAGTGGAATTCTTTAGTACCCAATACTTTTAGGGTCCTTGTGGGTTAGTACACATGGTTAAGGTTTCTCTTGAGAGCTCAATTCAATACAATGCACAAATGTAATATTATCTTTGTTCAACATGCTTCATGATAGATTATCAATTAATTTTTCTTTAGCATGATGATGCATAGACAATATACACTTGCTCATATGATAATAGCAAATTAAAAGGTAAGGTATAACATTGTATATGCTCACAACAACAATATTAGGGTTAAAACCTAATTTTCAGGAATTACCAAACACTGCCTTAAGAAGCTTCAACTCCTCAACTACCAAAGTTTTCCTCAGCTTGAAAATGGTATATTAAACTTGTTATACAGCTGGGACAAGTTATATCAATGAGGGTTAAACACAGCAGCTCAAAACATAGCAAAAAGCAGATTGTAGCAGGCCTATTTTCAGTAACTGTGAAGTTCTTGGTTTGAGGGGAAATTCTGGAAATTCGTGGCTGGACTCTCTCCAAAGTAGGCTTATAAACCAGATTTCTGCTGTAGCACTGTTGTAAGGGTAATTCTGGTTTTTCACCACTACAAACTTCTATATTTTGGCTCTCTCAAGTGTATATGAACTATATGAACATGCTCAGAAGGAAAACACGCCAGGTACAACAATATAATGTAATGTCAACACCCAAAACAGCCTTGAAATCTGGTATAGACTCAAATATGTGTGGTTTGCAATATCAGATTTTGAACATGTTATTCCTCAGGCCAAACTTCAACTTAGAGAGCCTCTACTCAACTAACCAAACATGCTCACATGATTTACATTCATAGTATAGCATAATAATATCATTTTAAGTTCAGTTTCAGAAGCTTAGATCAGAAAAACAACTAAAACTAGAGGTTTGAGGTATGAGATATTATACCAGCTGTAATATGAAGTCCACAGCTCATTCAGCAGTTGAAAAACACCAAAATATGTATGCTCAGACCTGTTCAAGTTTCAAAATCAACCACAGTAGCTTTGGATCTCCTCAACCTCCTTTTGCACTAGAAAATTAACACCAAGAAACCTCCTTGAATGATCAAGCAACCCTACAAGGTAAACTTAGGAAATCTTTCTTTGGTACCCAAATTCTCTTGGGTCCATAGGTGTTAGGCAACGGCACAAAAGTTCCTTTTGGAATCCAAATTTTCTTGATCTTTTTCTTCCTCTTAAATGGACAAATATAAATTTTGTGTCCCAACTTTTTACAACAATTGCATTTAGGATATTGAAAAGAACTTGCGTCAAATGAATCATATAAGAGCTTTCTCTTTTTCAATAAACATGCATCTCTATTGCAAGGATCATGTCTTATCCCATTTTTTAAGAAAACATTTCTTTGATCACCAAGAATGGCATTCAAGTTTTATTTTCCTTTGGTGAACTTTGCTAAAGTGTCATTTTGATCATCAATGACTTCCTTTGAAAAATTATTTTTGGAAACACAATCAATTGATGTTGATTCTTTATATAGTACATTATCTTTTTCCTTTTTCAAAGACTCATTTTCAATTTGAATCTTTTCTAATTCTTGCACAAGATAATGATTTTCATTTTTCAAAGAATCATTTTCCATTTGAACTTTTTCATGTCTTTGAGAAATATCATGATTTTCCTTTTTAAGAGAAGCACATTTTTCAAGCAATTTTTCTAGCACA